TATAATCATTTTTTTATTGCTAAATGTAGTTTTTCATCATGTATGTACGTAGAACTGAATGTTTATTTAGCTACCAACGAAAATAGAGTTGGATTTAAGAGTATCATCGATGCAACGATCATGGAAAAACTTCCAGTTAGGAACTAGCTGAATCTGTCCAAATTTGGACGGATGGGTACCGATCCAACGTGAATGTCACTTTCATTTTAAACATGACGATTGTGACGATTATTCATACCGGAACTTCAATATAAGTATCAATCAACGAAAATAGAACTTCGATGCAACGATTATGAAAAAATCTTTAGCTACGAACTAGTTGCATCCGTCCAAGTTTGGACGGATGGGTACCGTTGTCGACAGTGAATGACATACATTTTAAACAGGGCCATACATTATGCCTCAATATGCCAATCATCAAAAATCGAGTTGAATTCAAGAGTCTCAAAGGATGCAATGATCATGGAAACACTTCCAGTTAGGAATTAGCTGAATCTGTCCAAATTTGGACGGACGGGTACCGATCCAACGTGAATGTCACTTACATTTTAAACATGACGATCCTTCATACCGGAACTTCAATGTAAGTATCAATCAACGAAAACAGAACTTCGATGCAACGATTATGGAAAAATCTTTAGCTAGGAACTAGTCGCATCCGTCCAAGTTTGGACGGATGGGTACCGTTGTCGACGGTGGATGGCATACATTTTAAATAGGACCATACTTTATTCCTTAATATGCCAATCATCAAAAATAGAGTTGGATTTAAGAGTCTGATCGTTCTAATCATCATGGAAAAGCTTCCAGTTAGGAACTAGTTGAATCTGTCCAAATTTAGACAGGTGGGTACCGTTGTCGACGGTGAATGGTATTCATTTTAAACAGGACGATAGTTCATACCGTAACCTCAATAGGTCAACCAACGAAAATAGAGTTGGATTCAAGAGTCTCAAACGATTATGGAAAAATCTTTAGCTAGGAACTAGTCGCATCCGTCCAAGTTTGGACGGATGGGTACCGTTGTCGACGGTGGATGGCATACATTTTAAATAGGACCATACTTTATTCCTTAATATGCCAATCATCAAAAATAGAGTTGGATTTAAGAGTCTGATCGTTCTAATCATCATGGAAAAGCTTCCAGTTAGGAACTAGTTGAATCTGTCCAAATTTAGACAGGTGGGTACCGTTGTCGACGGTGAATGGTATTCATTTTAAACAGGACGATAGTTCATACCGTAACCTCAATAGGTCAACCAACGAAAATAGAGTTGGATTCAAGAGTCTCAAACGATGCAACGATCATGGAAAGCCTTCCAGTTAGGAACTAGTTGAATCCGTCTAAATTTGGACGGATGACTACCGTTGTCGATGATGGACAGCACTTTTTAAATATGACGATTCTTCATACCGTAATCACAACATAACAATCAACGAAAATACGACTGGATTCAAGAGACTCATCGATGCTACGATTATGGAAAAACCTTTAGCTAGGAACTAGTTGAATCATGAACATTTTAATTATAAGGATCGCCCATACTGTAACCTCAATAAACATACAAATCAGCCAACATTTTCTCCTTAAAATTATCATAGCACAAATTAACTCTATCAGTGATAAGCAGATCTACCTACTGAAAAATCTACCAACTATGCCTGTCGAAATGAATAATAAGACCGAGTATTGATGGTTAAACATCATGCCTATCACATTAAAATACGCGATTTTTAATGAAATATACTAATTAATCAACAACATTCAGTGATCCTACAAGATCCAGTTTCAACTTGTCATTAGACGTATTAATAGACAGCTAATTTCAGAATGTAGTATCATCAGAAGAGATAATAGCATCGATTTGCACTACACTAGATTATAAGCTAATTTACATGTGAAATGGTAATTAAAAAATTAATAAAATCAATAAAGTGATTATTGTTTCCTTCGTGTAAATCCTTTAATGACAACAAACTATCTACAAATCTACATAGTACCTACATCATTGCTACAAATGTCCAAAGCTTTTACTGAATTAATTTACTCGTCTGTCCAAAGAGATCCACCATTTACCATTTGGGCTGTTATTGCCGTTGATATTACAACAAGTCCAGACGCCATGGGCATGAGTTTTCAATTTTTACGTACGGAAAGGAAATGGGTCCTCGCGTCTGGGACGCAATTTTAATTCATACATAATTGCCGCCGTTTCAGTCGACAGGCGGAGCAAACCGCATTAAGTCTAATTGCCGTGGAAAATGGTGCCCGTATTATTCAAGAATATTAATTATTATTGTTCCGAAGGATATTGCTCGTCTGCTGGGCTATGATACGTGCAAGTCACACTCGGAAAACATGTGCCCATGCGCCCACAACATGCAACTGGAAACGTCTACAGGGTGATATAAAAACAACAATTCAATTCGACATTTGCAAAAGAGAGTTAAGGTCGTCACACACTTGTCCGTTCCGTTCCGTCTAAATACGGATGGGATAGAAACGATGTAAATGAATAGACAGCACCACTCATTAGTCCAGCATTAATCTAAACTAAACTAAAACCGTCTATTTCACCGGCCGGCAGAAATTCTTCGAGAAATTCAAAGGGAAACTGCACGGTATGGATGTTTTCAATTGCAAAATATCTATAATACGTGAATCTTATAAGTAACTAGCGACCCGCCCCAGCTTCGCACGGGTGCAATGCTAACACTAAGTATACTACAGAATGTTATTCACAGCTTTCTTGTCATAAGACAGTACAAACCGCCCCCCCGACCGGTACCGCCGCAACCGCTATGTCCCTGCATTTTAAATCTGTAATATCTTCGAGAATATTCATTTAAATTACATGCTGTAATGGGCCATATTGATCTATATTAAATGCACAATGTATTTAAAAGTACTTAATTGGATAAGGATTAATGCTATATTACTTACAATCGCTTCGTAAATAAGTCATTATTTCTCATAAAAAGTAAAGGATAAAAATGGTTATTGTGAGTTATCCCTAAGAGATAGACATATACCATCCCGGACTTTTTTGTAGACCCTTTTAAGATGTACAATATTGTAGTACATTATTTTGATCTATCTCGTAGGGTTCAGCCAGCGTTTGCAATGTAAGCGCAAAAAATGTGTTTATTTACGACATCACATTAGAAACCTCTAAA